TGGACCCAAAACAGGCTGCGGCAGCAAAAAGTCCCGATTCCTAAGTCCAGGAAGAGACCCCCCCCCCCCAACCCAGGATGAAACCCAAAAGGGCAAGCCCGGAGCAGTCTCAACCTAGAATGTCGACAAACCGGGGAGGCCCTAAGGGCCAAACTCACGATCTCGTCAGGGTAGTCCCTCGGTGAGACGATATGTGGGAGTTCCAAGGCGCATCTTCAGCCTGGAGAAGAACAGGAAGGACTTGATCGCGAAGGGGTCTGAGGGAGAGCCCCCCTCCTGTTGGACGACCGCTCCCAGATGCGGCCCAGAGGGGGTGGCCTTGCCGAGGATCCAGATGAATGAGCCGGGCTCCGATCAGCAGCTTCCGGCGAGGGAAGATGTAGAGATTCTAAGAGAGAATGGGCCTCCTCCGGCGTAGCCACAGAATGACTGCGGCCCTGGTAGGTGAAGGTGAGGCGGAACGGAAAGCCCCAGGCATATTTAATTCTGTGTTTCACCAGGACCGAAGTGAAGGGCTTCAACTGGCGTCGCTTCTGGAGAGTGGTCTGAGAGAGGTCCGCGAAAAGCTGGTAGCGGTGCCCCCTGGAAGCTAAGATCAGGGTTATTTCTGGCCGCCAAGAGGATAGTTTTCCTTAGTGCGGTAATAAGTAAACTTGATGATAATGTCCCTCGGGGGCCCATCCGGTCGTCTGGGGCCCAAAGAACGATGTATGCGGTCAAATTCGAGCCGGTCAATGGGAATAGCGGGTGTCAGCTCCTGAAACAGAGCAGTAGCAGTGGAGGTAAGATCCGTGACCGTTTCCGGAATACCCCTTAACCGCAAATTGCCACGGCGGGAACGGTTTTCGAAATCCTCAAGCCGCAGTAGTGCATCCGCCAATTCCTTCTTAAGGTCGCACAGGTCCTGTTCGTGAGTTTTCAATGACTGTGGCCGCAGCGTCCATTTTATCTTCGAGATCATTCGTCTGATTGCCCAAATCCCGAAATTTCCGCGAAAGACGGTCGGCCAGCTTGGAGGTAGCGGAGGACAATTCTGATTGCAGCATACAAAGCGGCGCGCAGGAGCTCGGCATCCCGCAGGGATGGAATGTGCGACCGCCGGGATGGCTCGGGATCCAGGTCCTCCCCACTGCCAGGATCCATCTCACCTGCAGGTAGTGATGGCAGGGGACCCAAACTTGCAGCCAGGGCTTCAGTTGTTGTCCCGGGCGAAAACCGCAAATCCGCGGCCGGGGTCCTGGAAGCCTCCGGCGGCCAGCCCAAAATCGAGGCCGCGGCGGCTTCACCCGCGATCTCCGGCGGGTAGGCCGCAACCTCCCGAACGGTCCGCCGGACGCTGGAGGTGCGGGGGGCCGGGGTTTTTTTCCCATCAGGGTGCTGGAAGGACAGGGGGGCCAGGGAGGAAGCGGAGGGACCCCCCCCTGAGGGTCAGAAATCGGCCGATGTGTCCGGTGGCCGAGACAGTAAATTAATAGGCAGCCATCCTGGCTGCTGCTCACGAGCGCCCCCCCCCCTCTATAGGTTTTTAAACAGAAGTTTGACACAACAGGACTCTTCCAAGAGCTGGTTGCCCAACTAAGGGCTCGTTAACATTTGACTGTTTTACCAACTTTTGCCAAATGCCCCTATAGCGTTTGGCAAGCGTTGGTCCGGCGTTTGCAGTAAAAACGCTGCCCAAACGCCTTTCTGCCGCCTGCACACAACGCTAGTGTGAACGTAGCCTAAACTGAGCAATTGGGGGAGAAGGAACTTAATAAGTGAGATGACCAAGATCCAGATGGTCACCCTGACTGAGCTCGGAGATCTGTGTGGAGATGGGAAAAAGTTCTAGGACAACCATCATTGCAGCCCTAAACCTTTTTGGGTCTTATGGCACAGTGGCTAGACAGAAGCCTCTGCTCAGTGCAAAACGCCCGCTTGGAGTTTGCAACAATGCACCTAAAGAACTCTGTTTGTGAGAAACAAGATTATCTTGTCTGAAACCATGATTGAACTGTTTGGGCTCAATTCTAAACATTATGGTTGGAGGAAACCAAACACTACTCATCACCTGCCCAACAGTGAAGCATGGTGGTGGCAGCATCATGCTGTGGGGGTGTTTTTCAGCAGCAGGGACTGGGAGACTGGTCAGGGTTGAGGGAAAGCTGAATGGAACAAAGTACAGAGATATCCTCAATGAAAACCTGTTCCACAGAGCTCGGGACCTCAGACTGGGCCAAAGGTTCACCTTCCAACATGACAAGGATCCTAAGCATACAGCCAAGACAACACACAAGTGACATAGAGTGGCCCAGCCAGAGCACCAACTTGAACATCTCTGGAGAGATCTGACAACAGCTGTCCACAGATAGTCCTCAGCCAACCTGACTGAGCTTGAGAGGATTTGCAAAGAAGAATGGCAGAAAATCCCCTAATGCAGGTGTACAAAGGTTGTCGAATCATACCCAAAAAGACCCGAGACTGTAACTGCAGCCAAAGGTGCTTTAACAAAGTACATATGATGTTTCAGTTTTGCCTTCTTAATAAATTCACAGACATTTCTAAAATTCTGTTTTCACTTTGTCATTATGAGGTACTGTGTGTAAATTAATGAGGGAAGCAGGCACCTCCTTCCTGTACGTAGGAGGGATCCTGGAGAACAATCTAGCAGAAAACCCCTAACAGCTGTTCCAAGGGTAGGTAAAGGAGTGGGTGGAAGAAAAGGATAGCTAGAGAAAGAGGCTTCCCTCATTCAGGTTCCAGATGAGGAATCTCCTCCAGCCGGCGGAAACACAAAACTGACCAGTTTCACAGAAGGACTTCCTTTTTAAAGCGTCTTTGGTGATGTGTTTTCTGTTCCTCTTGGAGGAGATGCCTATATCTCATTGGCTGTCCTAGATGATGATTTTTTGGGAAAAAAAGCCTAAAAAAAACAAAACAAACTAAAGCAGCCATCACATTCACATCTCAAAATTGGTAAGCTGCAATAGAATTAATTTTTGTTTTTGGGTTTAATATAGCTTTTTTCTAATTAAAGATCAGGTGCATTTGTTAGGGCTCGTTCACACTTGACTTTATTTCTAACTCTTGCTGAACACCCCTATAGTGTTTGACAGGCGTTAGGAGTTTTGGGAAGCGTTTTTAATGCTCCTCAAACACCCTATGCACGGTTTTGAGTCAGTTGATAGGCTTTTGCCAAGCGTTAAAACCGCACCACAAACGCCTATAATGAAGTTAAATGGTATTAACGCTCCACAACCGTCTCGCAACCGCACCGCAAATGCCTGCCAGGCATTTGAGGAGCGGCACCATAGACTTGAATGGGAGGCTTCAATTCCTCCTGACTCCACACGAGGCGTCAGGGTTTGCCGTGATGTGAACGCTTCAGTGTGAACAGCACGGTGTGCTGTCATGTGCAGAATTTTCATAGGCATTTGAGAAGCGTTAAAAACGCTTCCCAAATGCCTGTCTGACGCCTGCTGACAAAACTAGTGTGAACGTAGCCTTAGGGTGGAGTCCCTTATTACATAATAATGTGTTATATGGTAACACAAGTCTGCAGGGCCCTAAATTTGTATACTGTCTACACTTTTAAAGTAAACCTGTGAGGATAGAAAAATGAAAGCAGCAGGTCACCATTCTAATCCTGGCTCTACTTACTTCACTATCACTAATGTAGACCAACTTCCTGGTTTCCAGGCCGAGACAAACAAGGTCATACATCCCAGGAGTCTTTAGAAGGGGGGTTTTCTCAGCACACCCTTCTGCATACATGACCAAGCTAAGGGCAGATAGATTCCAGGAAGTAAATGCTACATGAATCATTCACCTACGGCCAGACATGCTGTAGGAGTGTGTTTTTCAAAGTGGTTTATCAAAAACTAAAGCATAGAGACATAGAAAGATGACTGTGTTTACTTTGATAATTATGAATTAACCACTTCCTGCAACAGGACGTACCCTTGCGTCCTCAGGTTTCAGTGATTCTTTTTCTTCTTTTTGAGCCTACAATGCCCTATAAGGTAAAAGTGATCGCTGCTAGATAATTTTTACCGGCTTGTAAAGCATTTGATCAAATCAATGTTGGTTTCAATAGAAGCATTTGAGAGCAGAGAAGAGATCTCTTAGTAAAGAGAACCTGTCACTGTCCATGCTGGCACAAGGGATATTGTTCTCCCCTTCTGATAGCAATAAATTTAATTTAAAAAAAAAAAAAAGGAGGAGTGTCAAAAAAAAAAATGTTAAATCTTTTTTATTTATTTATATATATATATATATATATATATATATATATATATATATATATATATATATATATATATATAGTTAATAACGCCTCTGTCCCTCCTTGCAAATGCATTCATAGGCTTCATAAACAGTGATCGCACTACACATGTGAGGTATTGCAGCGAAAACAAGAGCGAGGACAATAATTCCAGCACCCTACCTCCTGTTCATCTCTACACTGGTAACCTTTAGAGGCTTTTAAAGCGTAACCTATGGACATATTTAGATAATGTAATTTGTTACTACTCCACAGGCGTGTGCATTTTTAAAGTGCGCCATGTTTGGTATCTATTTACATATTTATGTTTTACCAAAACGATGGTTGTGTGCTTTAAAATTCATTAAAGTGTATTTTTTCCTGAAAATCTGCATTTGATAAACCATTGTGCAGGTATCATGTGATTTAAAACTTTGTAACAACCACCATTTTTTCCTCCAGGGCCTTTGCTTTCAGAAAATATATAATGTATGGGGGGTTCTAAGTAATTTGGTTAAAAAAAAAATGCTGATTTTTACAAGTGGCTAAATAACATATTTGGTTTGTGCTATCCAGATAATGTGTAGTTCAGCTTTAGGCCAACAATGCTATCTCCCCATCTTTGTACACCATAGTTTTTCCTTGAACATCAAAACAAAATCTTTAGTCAATCATAATTACAAACTACAACAAAATACTCAAGAAAACAAACTTTACAGAGGATTTATTGAGAGAGAAGTTGATGTTTCCATGCTTCTTAAAGTTCACCAACGGGCTTGTGTGGCCAGTAGGGATATTTCTCTTTATCCAGTTTGGCTTCAGGGAAAGCTTCCCCTACATCATCAAATGTCATCTGTTCAATTGGAATCATGTTCTTATACTTTGCAAGCTGAGTAAAAAAACAAAAACAAAAACAAAACAAAAAACACAATGAAGTCATATCTGTTACAGGAAGCAGTACAAAAGCTTATTTGGGAACAGACCACACCAAAAATAAAATACCCTTCGCTATACAAGACATTAGACTACATACTTATCTCAGGACATGTTTCTTTTAAAACAATCCTGTAGGTTTCCAGCAGAAACCAAAGTGGCAAATGGAAGATGGAACTGGCACCTCCAAGGCCCCAACAACCTGGGATACTGTATTTTGCATATATTAATTACAGCTCTGGAGTGCCATGCCAATCTCTCTCGGCTCTCCTTACCTCACACTGGTCAGAAAGCCTGATAAGTGCTAGAAAACATGAGGAACAGGAATAGGCAGGTAATGGGAGAACAGTATGGAGTGCCTGCAGAACTTTGGGCTTCAGGGGTCTTCAAGGTGCTGTAGAAGTTAACCTGAAGGTACTGCTGCACCACCTTTTGGATACACCAGCTGCTGCCAGAATCCCACAGCTACACTTGGTGCTGGCGCCTCCCGTCCCTTTAAGGGTTCCAGAAACCGGTAGGCAGGGTGGGGTTTTAGGGTCACGTGACTACCATGATTCGCTGATACAGTGGTCACATGATCGGGGAAAGGTCCCAATCGCAAGAGGAGATCGGGACCTTTCCGTGAGTACCCAACGTGTGTGCTGGGAGCACGCTCTCAGCACGTGTTTTTTTATCAGAACGCAAATGTGCGGCCGCTCAGCGTCTAGGCCCAGACACCAGGAGGCCGCACAATTGTGTTCGGCCGGCAAAAATAGGTTAACTAAATTTAATTATCAGACAGAGTTAAACACAAGGACCTACATGTGCCAGCCAATATCAGATGGCTACCCCAGAACTGAAGCTTTCTGGGCGATCTGTAATGCAAATTTGAATTTCGTTTTAAAAACTGGAGCCATTTATTCCTAGCCAGTAGCTGATTGATACTTGCAACTTGGGGTGATAGGGAGCTATGCAAAGATCAGATGCAGTGTGCAGGCACCTCGAGGACCTTCTATACATCAAATAAACACCACTTCATATTAAGGATGAAATTTGACCAGGGCCTCTAGCCCTTGATGATCCCTGGTCACAAAAGGGATTTTATTTTGTGATTGAACTTCCCGCCTGCATGTGAACACCATGTCATTGCTGACATAGTGATCACATGATCAGGACCCACACTGATTGGGGGACCAGAGTGGTTAGTGACAGCCTGTTCTGACAGCTAGCTGCTGCATGGTATAGACCAGGGGTCTCCAAACGTTCTAAACAAAAGGCCAGTTAATGGTCTTTCAGTCTTTAGGGGGGCCGGACTGTGGGAAGTCAGAGAAGAAAATGTCCTGGCTTCACTGGAAGTAAACAACACCCGATCTTTGGAATTAGGGGAGGAATCGTACCTCATTGTTGGTGTCAGTGGGAGGAACAGTTCCCCATCATTGGAGTCAGTAGGTGGAATTGTGGCCCATCACTGGCGTCAGTAAGTGGAATTGTGGCCCATCACTGGTGTCAGTAGGTGGAATAGTGGCTTGTCATTGGTGTCAGTGGAAGTAACAGTGCCTCACCATTGGTGTTAATTGGAGGAATGGTGCCCCATAGTTGGTGTCATTGGAAGGAAATGTATCCCAGCACTGGTGTCAGTAAGCAGAATTGTACTCTACTGTGTCAGTGGAAGGAAGTGTGTCCTATCGTTTGTGTTTTTGGAAGGAATTGTGCCCCATTCTAGGTGTCAACGAGAGAAAATAGTGCCATGTCATTATTATTATTATACTTTATATAGCGCCAAAGGGTTTGCTCAGCGCTGTACAATAGCAAGGGGGACAGAACATGAGACAAGACAGTAACAATACAATACATGAGGGGTTTGAGGGCCCTGCTCTTTTGAGCTTACAATCTAGGTGTCATTGGGAGCAATAGTGAGCCATGTTGGTGATATTGGGTGGAACTGTATATTATCATTCATATAAATGGGAGGATTTGTGCCCCATTGTTGGTGTCAGTGGCAGGAATGATGTCCCAATGTTGGAGTCAGTGACTGGAATAGTGCCCCAAGGGCTGGATAAAACCAAGCAAAGGGCCACATCCGGCCCCCATGCTACAGTTTGGATACCACTGGTATAGAGTATAGGAAACATTTATTAACACAAATGCATAACTATCATGCATTTTGAATACAAACAGTTAAGAAATTTTTGACCCTCCATGTGACTAAAAACAAAAATTTAGTTCTCTATTACAGTACAGCCAAATTGCATCTGTTCACCAATTTATTCAGTTGTGCCACATCAGTCAATGCTTATGAAGCAATTACATTTAACTTTCGAACAGTCACAAAATTTAGATGCGCCAAGAAGTAATTTAAATAAAGTAGATGTGTTATTATTTTTCAACAGTGGCTAATTTATGATGCACCATTGCATACAGAAAAATAAATTTGTCCCTTTCATTCCAAATAAAAGGAAGCAGCAGAACAACTGCAACAAATAAGACAATTTTAACAAATGTCTCACATTTGTGTCAGCTGTTAGCTGTAAAAGGTGAATGTAGACAAGGGGTCTCCAAGCTTTCTAAACAAAGTTTACTGTCCTTCAGACCTTAGGGGGGCCAGGCTGGGGCCAGAGCGAGCAGAAACGTTCCTGACATCAATGCAAATAAACAATGCCCCATCGCTGCTGCCAGTGGGAGCAATCGCTCCCCCATCGCTGGTGCCAGAGGGAGCAATCGCGCCCCATCGCTAGTGCCAGAGAGAGGAATTATGCCAGATAAAAGCAAACAAAGGCCCACATTTGGCCCTGGGGCTGCAGTTTGGAGACACTGATGTAGCGTACATTACCTCTGCATTTGTAATTGTGCATGGGGATGTTAATCTACAGATTGCAGATGGAAAGTGGTGAGGGCAGAAATCCTACCAAATAACTAATTATGGTTTTTTTGAAATCCAAAAATACTTTTACAAATGTTTGTTAAATGTACATTTTTCATTTCAATAACACGGAAATGGATATTGTCACAAAAAAAACCCCAATTACCAGATTGTACCAAAAAATGAACACACTGCTCAAATCAGTAAGGTTTTGTAGCGCTCCATGGCCTGAGTGTACTGTATCCTCCAACATATTTGTGCTTTTCATAAACCCCATATGAAGACTACACACAGGCCCACTTATATGACAATACCTGTGGCTACCCTTAGAAAGCAAAACTCCGATAAGCCCATGGAATGTCCAGCAGACCTGATCACCAGAAAGTATTACGTAAAATACAGACTGAGTTAATTGGTAGCCTGAATAATAACTACATACCTCTTTCTCATATACAGTCACCCTGCTTTTGGATTCCTCAATGAATGTTAAAGCAGATTTGTTCTATAAGCAAACAAAAAATATGACAGATGTTATATTTACAGGCAACAAAGTTTTGTTTTTTTTCTTTTTAGTTAAGGTGCACATGTCCTGAAGTCAAACAAAAAATGTTAAAAACATATTTAAAAAAAAAAACAAAAAACTTCATTTGATCCAACAATGGATGTATTAAAAGTAAAACATTCTATTACCCATGCAAGGATAAGTGAAAGGTTCTCTCAGCTCCCCACCAGCAACATGTGCTCACCTTTCCTTGATCCCCCATTAGTCAGCTGATGGGACCAGGGAAAGCAAGTAATAAACTCCTTCCCTGGTCCCATGTGACAACTTTGAGCCAATCCCAAACCTCGTTGCTGAAATGAGTCATCGTCTTGCCCATACATGAAGTTCTGTGTATTTCCTTGGCTTTCGGCAGCTGAACCAAGCAATGGAGTGAAGTAAAAGTGCACACATGCTGCTGTGAAGGAGGGGAGTGCTAAGTGAACCTTTAATTTTGATATGCAGAGGATAAAAGGAAAACCTTAAAAAAAATCAGCACAAGGGTCATAACCTACAGTCAACAGGATGTGATCCTCCGCTGTTCAGTAGAATCGTCCTCTGTCCTTGCATCCCCTCACCTCCGCTGCTGTAATCTTCTGCTGCAGCAGGGGTTAATACAACTAATCGGCTGTCACAGGCTCTCAACAAGAGAACCCAGCTATGCCCACACTTTCTGCCCAGCTGCTCCATTCATAGAAGCCATACTGCAGCTTCTATGAATGAAACAGGATTTGTGAATGGAGAGGGGAGGGAGCAGACTTATTTATCCAACCTGCACTCCTATGAATGAAACATGATCTAAGAATGGAGTGCAGGTTGGATAAAATGATAGGTCTGCTCCCTCCCCTCTCCATTCACAAATCCTGTTTCATTCATAGAAGCTGCAGTATGGCTTCTATGAATGGAGCAGCTGGGCAGAAAATGTGGGCATAGCTGGGTTCTCTTGTTGAGAGCCTGTGACAGCCGATTAGTTGTATTAGCCCCTGCTGCACCAGAAGATTACAGCAGCAGCTGGAAGGAAAGAATGGGCAGTTGGGCTTTTTTTTTTGAGGAGAGCCTGTGACAGATCCTTATTTTGTATTAACCTCTGCCTAACTGGAAGATTACAGAGGTGGAGGTGGGTGTTTGACAGAGGATTTCAGTGAACAGAAGAGGAATCCGTACAAGAAACACTTCCTACAGGAGAACCTCCGCTTCTGATCTCCTAGCCAGTCAGAGCACAAGTAGGAGGGGATACCTGTCAAAATGGAGTACCCGATCCCCTCGCAGGTGCCAACTGTTTACAGGGAGCGGGGGAACCAATCCTTAAAGCACAGCTTTCCCTTTTGGGTGGAGCTCCACTTTAAAATTGTGAAATATAGCACTCAGGGAAGAATATATTAAAAACAAACTACTATAAAATGTTATGAATAAGTTTTTATAAATGCAGATTAAAAAATAAATTTTATATTAAAACCAATTTTGGATACACAAATATATACAGTGTAAGACCATTTCAATTTCAGTGGTTTAAATTGTTTGTATTCAGAGGTTGGTGCACTTCTCAGATAAAATAGCGATTTGATAAACATTTGCGTAACTACTGTGGTGCCTAAATGAAAAAAAAAAATAAAAAAATCAGTAGCACTATCTTTTTATTCTACTTGTCATGCGTTTTCAGAAAATATATGGTTTGGGGGTCTTTTACAAACTCTTGCAATCTGTAAGTGAAAAATTAAAACCTCAAGATTTTTAGAGAACTCTGCGTACGTTAGATTTTCACCATTCCGCAAAAAGGCGCAAAACATGGACAAATATTTGTTAATTATTAACTTGATACAGGTTAGGCTTTTATATTCAGTAGGAATTTAGCAGGTATTTTGTAAAATTTGCTGTGTTTGTATCCTCTAATAATGATTTTATTGTATTTTTTTTAGTAAAAATATTGTTTTGATAAAAATTTGCAAAAATATTTCCGGGCCTTAAAAATCAGTAGCACCTTCTTTTTATTCTACTGGTCATGTGCTTTCAGAAAATATATGGTTTGGGGTTTTTTTTTACAAATGTAAAGTAAAAAGAAATGTAAGTGAAAAAAGAAAACCTCCAGATTTTTAGAGAGGTTTGAATATTTACATTTTTGTAAACGTTTGATTTTCACCAGTTTGCAAAATGGCATAACTTAAAATTGACAAATATTTGTTAAATATTAACTCAATACAAATGAAGTTTTTTTATTTAGTAGGAATTTTGTAAAATTGCTGTCTTTTTATCTGCCAAAAATGATTTTAATGTATTTTCAGCGAAAAGATTGATTTGCGCAAACATCACAAAGCCTTAAAAATCAGTAGCACCTTCTTTTTATTCTACTGGTCATGTGCTTTCAGAAAATATATTCTGAAAGCTGTAAGGTAAAAATAAAAAAAGCAAAATGGAAAAATTGCAAAATGGTCTGGCCAGCAGGTTTTAACAGTGGAGCACAGGGTGTGGCAGCGAAAGGGTTAAAGTGAACCCGTGCCCAGAATACACACCAAAATATTTTCAGAACTCCCTGCATGGGTTACTTTAACAGTGTTGGTCATTAACCACTTGCCCTTTATAGGATTTATCCCCCTTCCTGACCAGGCCATTTTTTGCGACACGGCGCTGCGTTATTTAACTGACAATTGCACGGTCATGCAACACTGCACTCAAATGAAATTTATGTCCCTTTTTACCCCCAAATAGACCTTTCTTTCAGTGGTATTTGATCGCCTGTACATTTTTTAATTTTTTTTAAACAAAAAAAGTGACAATTTTGAGAAAAAAATATTTTTTTTTACTTTTTTGCTATTAAAACATGTCTAGCAAAAAAAATTTTTTAAAAATTAAATTTCGGCATAAATTTAAGCCAACATGTATTCTGCTACATGTCTTTGCTAAAAAAAAAAAAAATGATTAAAAAAAATTCCCAATGCACGTAAATTAATTGGTTTATGTGAAAGTTATAGCATTTACAAATGGTGGAATATATACACCATTATTTTATTTTTTTACTAGTAATGGCGGCGATCAGCAACTTATAGCGGGACTGTGGCGGGTATTCTGACACTGGGGGGAACTGACTTGGTGGCACTTACATCCCCAGTGATACCAATACAGTGATCAGTACTAATATAAAGCAATGACACTGTACATCTGGGGCGATCAAAGGGTTAACTGTGTGCTGTTTCATTGTGTGCTGTGTGAGTGCTTTACACTGTAAGCACACTGCTTTGTATGGCTCTCCTATGCAGAGCCATACAAGGCAATGTGCAAGAGCTGACGGGGGGGGGGGGGGGGGGGGGGGGAGGATCTATGTTGTTTATACACGTCTCTCTCTCCCCCACCCCCTCGTTGGAGATACTTGGCGATCACCAGGTGCCGGCGAGTAATCACCGGCCAGGACCCGGGGACTGACAGCTGAAGCCACAAATGGCGATGCGGGTCTGCCCGGAACTGAACAATCACATGTATATATGAGATTTTGCGCACCCGTAGCAATATTTCTTCTACAGGGTGGCACAGAAGCGGTTAAGGCAAGGACAAACCTCATAATTTAGTTAAGCTCAGTAGCTAACAAGCTAGCTCTTCCCAAATTTGTACATTTACTAAAAAATAATTTCTAATTATAGCATATTAAAAAATAGAGAAATCCACATATCAAAAGGACTTACAGCTTCTTGTTCCTGGACATTTATCTTTTCAGTCTGAGTATCTTTAGGCTCTGGGATGGCAAGAGCATTAAACTGAAAAGGCAAAACAATAAATTCAACATGTATCTCTACTTAGATTTCTGCAATCCAAATGCACTTAAAATCAAAATGGTACACTTACCTTCTTCTCAAACTCATCCACTAGACCTGCCTTGACAATTGCGGTTCGGTAATAGGCCCAGTCAATTGTTGGTGGTTTGACAGGCAGAGACGACAACCTGTTAAAAGAAATTTCTAGTTATCCTGGTTCTCTTAAAATTTATGCGCAAAAAAATAATGCAATAGTCTATATAAAGATTCTTAAAATTACGAGCTGCTCAAGGGGGCACGAAGACCCCACAGACAGAGGATGAAACAGTTCATGGCTTACTTCATTAACCACTTCAAGTCCGGACACTTTCACCCCCTTCCTGTCCAGGTCAATTTTCAGCTTTCAGTGTTATCACACTTTGAATAACAATTGCGTGGTCATGCAACACTAAACCCATATACTTTTTTTTAGCATTTTTTTTGAGACAGATATAAAACTTTATTTTGGTGGTATTTATTCACTGGATTTTCATTTTTTTTGCTATATAATATATATATATATATATATATAAAAGTCCAAAAATTTTGAAAAAAAAAAAAGTGTTTTTTCATATACAATTTTGCAAATAAATAATTTTTATAAATCTTGGCCAAATTTTATTCAGTTATCTTTTTAATAAGAAAAAAAACCCAAGTTAGTTTTTAACCAAAAATTATAATTTTTACAATTTTTTTTTTTAATTTTTATTTTATTATCTCCATAGGTGATGTTTTAAAAGCATTTACAGGTTAACAGTGTGGTGCAATCACTGTTTGCATTTGTGTGGGACCCACGTATGCGTTTGCATGTGAGCACGGGGGACAGGGATGCTTTTTTTACATTTTAAAATTACTCTCTTTTTTTTTTTTTCATCTTTATTGCTATCACAAATGATGATCATCCTATGTGATAGATGGGGCAGTGAAAGACACTCTTTCTTGAAAGATCAGGAGTCTATAGATCTCTGATCTCTCCAAGGCAGCTGATCAAACTAAGACTTCTCTCTAGCAAGTCATTTTGAGCAGGGTAGCAAATATTCACAGCTTCCCTGCAATGTCTGGTGGCTGCCACAACAATAAAGGATTTGTGGAGAGTAATGTGTCAGGAGGAAAAGGGGTTTAAAGTAACAATAAATGCTGGCATAAAAGCCAATTGATGACACCTGATCCAGGAGAGCTCTCCAAAAGGACAATCATCTGGAGTTCCCGGCCTGGCACCCTATTTCCTCAAAGTCTGCAGTGAATAAGAACACTCTCTGCTCTCACCTCCACTATGCTGGACTGAAGCCCATATCTTTTAAAGGACTAATTCTTTAAGATGTAGGGGTGCACCGAAATTTCAGTGGCCGAAATGTTTCAGCCAAAAAAACACCCCTATCGGCAGTTGGCCAATATGAAAATAAGTACCGATACAGGTGCTGAAAATAACCCCGCCCCCCTCGCTGCCACTTGGTAGTTCTCAGCCTTACCTGCAAAACCACCAAACGATCCCGGCGCTGGGCATAGAGATAAGTGAAGGAAAGATGGCCCCCACTCATCTCTATGCCCTTGGAGGACCAGAGCGATGTCAACTTCTGGTCACAGCACCTTGTAAAGGCCTTTTTTTTAAAGCACTAGATCAATGCTTTTTTTTGATCTAATGCTTTATATTGTAAAGGAGACATGTGGGGTCTTATTGACCCCATATCTCTCCAAAAAGAGGACCTGCCACTAATTATTTCTATCACAAGGGATGCATGCATTCCTTGTGCTAGAAATAAAAGTGATTCATTTTTTTTTTCTTTAAAAAGGGACAGTGTAAATAAAGTGCCCCCATCCCCCCGTAGTGGTGAATGCATACGTAAGCTATGCCCAGATATGTAAACGGTGTTCAAACCACATGTAAGGCATCGCCACGAACATCAGAGCAAGAGCAATAATTCTCGCACTAGAACTCCTCTGTAACTTTACACTGGTAACCTGTAGAAATTTTTAAAGCATCACCCATGGAGATTTTTAAGTACCATAGTTTGATGTGATTCGTCATAACACCATCTTTCATATTTAAAAAAAATAAAAAAATGTATATATTGTCTGTTTTTTATTTTTAATCATTAAAGTGTATTTTTTTTTCCAAAAAATATAAATTAATTTTTAAAAATATGTCAATTTCAGTTTTCGGCCAAGTGCATCCTGAATTTGGTTTCAGTAGCAGAATTTTCATTTCGGTGCACCACTACTAAGATGGTCACCCAACACTACTTACCACAACTGCCTCCCTATTCTGTTTTCAACAGCTAAATGGGCAATTATTAAATACAAAACACCTAGATTGGTTCCAATCTGCTCTCTCCTTGTTTAAAATGATATATGTATTACATTTGAACCATACGCACGGTTTAGTGTACATTAAAAAGTCTGCCAGCTGGCAAGAGTGTATTTTATATAAACTGCTCAAAAAAATTAAAGGAACACTTTGAAAACACATCAGATCTCAATGGGGAAAACTCTCATGCTGGAGATCTATAATGATGTGGACTGGGTAATGTGTTAGTAACATAAGGATGCCCCATCATTTGATGGAAATGAAAATTATCAACCTACAGAGGACTGAAATCAAAGACACCCCAAAAATCAAAGTGAGAAAATGATGCAGCAGGCTAGTCCATTTTGCTGAAATTTCATTGCACCAACTCATAATGGTACTCTGTAGTCTGTATGTCCCCCACGTGCTTGAATGCATGCCTGACAATGTCGGGGCTCCTAATGAGACAATGGATGATGTCCTGGGGTATTTCCTTCCAGATCTGGACCAGGGCATCACTGAGCTCCTGGACAGCCTGAGGTAAAATCTGGCGCTGTCTGATGGACATGATATCCTAGAGGCGTTCTATTGGATTTAGGTCAGGGGAGACTGGGGGCCATTCAATGGTATGAATTCCTTCATCCTCCAGGAACTGCCTGCAAACTCTTGCCACATGAGGCCGGGCATTGTCATGCACCAGGAGGAACCCAGGACCCAGTGCACCAGCGTAGGGTCTGACATGGGTCCAAGGATTTCATCCCAATACCTAATGGCAGTCAGGGTGCTATTGTCTAGCCTGTAGAGGTCTGTGCGTCCCTCAATGGATATGCTTCCCCAGACCATCACTGATCCACCACCAAAACGGTCATGCTGAATGATATTACAGGCAGCATATCGTTCTCCACGGCTTCTCCAGACCCTTTCACGTCTGTCACGTGCTCAGGGTGAACCTGCTCTCATCTGTGAGAAGCACAAGGCGCCAGTGGCGGACCTGACAATTCTGGTGTTCAGTGGCAAATGCCAATCGAGCTCTGTGGTGCCGGGCAGTCAGCACAGGGCCCACTAGAGCAGTGGTTCTCAACCTTTCTAGCGCCGCGACCCCTTAATACAGTTCCTCATGTTGTGGTGACCCCCAACCATAAAATTATTTTCGTTGCTACTTCATAACTGTAATTTTGCAGTAGGAGGAATAGTGCCACGTCATTGGTGTCATTGGGAGGAATAGTGCCCCGTCATTGGTATCAGTGGGAGGAATAGTGCCCCGTCATTGGTGTCAGTGGGAGGAAATAGTGCCCCTTTCATTGGTGTCAGTGGGAGGAATAGTGCCCCGTCATTGGTGTCAGTGGGAGGAATAGTGCCCCGTCATTGGTGTCAGTGGGAGGAATAGTGCCCCGTCATTGGTGTCAGTGGGAGGAATAGTGCCCCGTCATTGGTGTCAGTGGGAGGAATAGTGCCCCGTCATTGGTGTCAGTGGGGGAGGAATAGTGCCCCGTCATTGGTGTCAGTGGGAGGAATAGTGCCCCGTCATTGGTGTCAGTGGGAGGAATAGTGCCCCGTCATTGGTGTCAGTGGGAGGAATAGTGCCCCGTCATTGGTGTCAGTGGGGGGGAATAGTGCCCCGTCATTGGTGTCAGTGGGGGGAATAGTGCCCCGTCATTGCTGTCAGTGGGAGGAATAGTGCCCCGTCATAGGTGTCAGTGGGAGGAGGAATAGTGCCCCGTCATTGATGTCAGTGGGGGGAATAGTGCCCCGTCATAGGTGTCAGTGGGGGGAATAGTGCCCCGTCATTGGTGTCAGTGGGGGGAGGAATAGTGCCCCGTCATAGGTGTCAGTGGGGGGAGGAATAGTGCCCCATCCTTGGTGTCAGTGGGGGGAGGAATCGTGCCCCATCCTTGGTGTCAGTGGGGGGAGGAATCGTGCCCCATCCTTGGTGTCAGTGGGGGGAGGAATCGTGCCCCATCCTTGGTGTCAGTGGGGGGAGGAATCGTGCCCCATCCTTGGTGTCAGTGGGGGGAGGAATCGTGCCCCATCCTTGGTGTCAGTGGGGGGAGGAATCGTGCCCCATCCTTGGTGTCAGTGGGGGGAGGAATCGTGCCCCATCCTTGGTGTCAGTGGGGGGAGGAAATCGTGCCCCATCCTTGGTGTCAGTGGGGGGAGGAATCGTGCCCCATCCTTGGTGTCAGTGGGGGGAGGAATCGTGCCCCATCCTTGGTGTCAGTGGGGGGAGGAATCGTGCCCCATCCTTGGTGTCAGTGGGGGGAGGAATCGTGCCCCATCCTTGGTGTCAGTGGGGGGAGGAATCGTGCCCCATCCTTGGTGTCAGTGGGGGGAGGAATCGTGCCCCATCCTTGGTGTCAGTGGGGGGAGGAATCGTGCCCCATCCTTGGTGTCAGTGGGGGGAGGAATCGTTGCCCCATCCTTGGTGTCAGTGGGGGGAGGAATCGTGCCCCATCCTTGGTGTCAGTGGGGGGAGGAATCGTGCCCCATCCTTGGTGTCAGTGGGGGGGAGAATCGTGTGCCCCATCCTTGGTGTCAGTGGGGGGAGGAATCGTGCCCCATCCTTGGTGTCAGTGGGGGGAGGAATCGTGCCCCATCCTTGGTGTCAGTGGGGGGAGGAATCGTGCCCCATCCTTGGTGTCAGTGGGGGGAGGAATCGTGCCCCATCCTTGGTGTCAGTGGGGGAGAGGAATCGTGCCCCATCCTTGGTGTCAGTGGGGGGAGGAATCGTGCCCCATCCTTGGTGTCAGTGGGGGGAGGAATCGTGCCCCATCCTTGGTGTCAGTGGGGGGAGGAATCGTGCCCCATCCTTGGTGTCAGTGGGGGGAGGAATCGTGCCCCATCCTTGGTGTCAGTGGGGGGAGGAATCGTGCCCCATCCTTGGTGTCAGTGGGGGGAGGAATCGTGCCCCATCCTTGGTGTCAGTGGGGGGAGGAATCGTGCCCCATCCTTGGTGTCAGTGGGGGGAGGAATTCGTGCCCCATCCTTGGTGTCAGTGGGGGGAGGAATCGTGCCCCATCCTTGGTGTCAGTGGGGGGAGGATCGTGCCCCATCCTTGGTGTCAGTGGGGGGAGGAATCGTGCCCCATCCTTGGTGTCAGTGGGGGGAGGAATCGTGCCCCATCCTTGGTGTCAGTGGGGGGAGGAATCGTGCCCCATCCTTGGTGTCAGTGGGGGGAGGAATCGTGCCCCATCCTTGGTGTCAGTGGGGGGAGGAATCGTTGCCCCATCCTTGGTGTCAGTGGGGGGAGGAATCGTGCCCCATCCTTGGTGTCAGTGGGGGGAGGAATCGTGCCCCATCCTTGGTGTCAGTGTGGGGGAGGAATCGTGCCCCATTCCTTGGTGTCAGTGGGGGGAGGAATCGTGCCCCATCCTTGGTGTCAGTGGGGGGAGGAATCGTGCCCCATCCTTGGTGTCAGTGGGGGGAGGAATCGTTGCCCCATCCTTGGTGTCAGTGGGGGGAGGAATCGTTGCCCCCATCCTTGGGGTGTCAGTGGGGGGAGGAATCGTGCCCCATCCTTGGTGTCAGAGGGGGGAGGAATCGTGCCCCATCCTTGGTGTCAGTGGGGGGAGGAATCGTGCCCCATCCTTGGTGTCAGTGGGGGGAGGAATCGTGCCCCATCCTTGGTGTCAGTGGGGGGAGGAATCGTTGCCCCATCCTTGGTGTCAGTGGGGGGAGGAATCGTGCCCCATCCTTGGTGTCAGTGGGGGGAGGAATCGTGCCCCATCCTTGGTGTCAGTGGGGGGGGGGAGGAATCGTGCCCCATCCTTGGTGTCAGTGGGGGGAGGAATCGTGCCCCATCCTTGGTGTCAGTGGGGGGAGGAATCGTGCCCCATCCTTGGTGTGTCAGTGGGGGGAGGAATCGTGCCCCATCCTTGGTGTCAGTCGGGGGGGAGGAATCGTTTGCCCCATCCTTGGTGTCAGTGGGGGGAGGAATCGTGCCCCATCCTTGGTGTCAGTGGGGGGAGGAGGAATCGTGCCCCATCCTTGGTGTCAGTGGGGGGAGGAATCGTGCCCCCATCCTTGGTGTCAGTGGGGGGAGGAATCGTGCCCCATCCTTGGTGTCAGTGGGGGGAGGAATCGTGCCCCATCCTTGGTGTCAGTGGGGGGAGGAATCGTGCCCCATCCTTGGTGTCAGTGGGGGGAGGAATCGTGCCCCATCCTTGGTGTCAGTGGGGGGAGGAATCGTGCCCCATCCTTGGTGTCAGTGGGGGGAGGAATCGTGCCCCATCCTTGGTGTCAGTGGGGGGAGGGAATCGTGCCCCATCCTTGGTGTCAGTGGGGGGAGGAATCGTGCCCCATCCTTGGTGTCAGTGGGGGAGGAATCGTGCCCCATCCTTGGTGTCAGTGGGGGGAGGAATCGTGCCCCATCCTTGGTGTCAGTGGGGGGAGGAATCGTGCCCCATCCTTGGTGTCAGTGGGGGGAGGAATCTGTGCCCCATCCTTGGTGTCAGTGGGGGGAGGAATCGTGCCCCATCCTTGGTGTCAGTGGGGGGAGGAATCGTGCCCCATCCTTGGTGTCAGTGGGGGGAGGAATCGTGCCCCATCCTTGGTGTCAGTGGGGGGAGGAATAGTGCCCCATCCTTGGTGTCAGTGGGGGGAGGAATAGTGCCCCATCCTTGGTGTCATTTGGGGGAGGAATAGTGCCCCATCCTTGGTGTCATTTGGGGAGGAGGGAATAGTGCCCCATCCTTGGTGTCATTTGGGGAGGAATAGTGCCCCATCCTTGGTGTCATTTGGGGGAGGAATAGTGCCCCATCCTTGGTGTCATTTGGGGGAGGAATAGTGCCCCATCCTTGGTGTCATTTGGGGGAGGAATAGTGCCCCATCGTTGGTGTCATTTGGGGGGAGGAATAGTGCCCCATCGTTGGTGTCATTTGGGGGAGGAATAGTGCCCCATCGTTGGTGTCATTTGGGGGAGGAATAGTGCCCCATCGTTGGTGTCATTTGGGGGAGGAATAGTTGCCCCATCGTTGGTGTCATTTGGGGGAGGAATAGTGCCCCATCGTTGGTGTCATTTGGGGGAGGAATAGTGCCCCATCGTTGGTGTCATTTGGGGGAGGAATAGTGCCCCATCGTTGGTGTCATTTGGGGGAGGAATAGTGCCCATCGTTGTGTCATTTGGGGGAGGAATAGTGCCCCATCGTTGGTGTCATTTGGGGGAGGAATAGTGCCCCATCGTTGGTGTCATTTGGGGGAGGAATAGTGCCCCATCGTTGGTGTCAGTGGGAGGAATAGTGTCCCATCGTTGGTGTCAGTGGCGGCGGCGGCGAGGAGCGGTGTCTCGGTTCCTAAGACCATCGGAAATATGTGTTTTCCGATGGTCTTAGGCGACCCCTGTGGAAGCGTCGTTCGACCCCCAAAGGGGTCGCGACCCCCAGGTTGAGAACCGCTGCACTAGAGGATGTCGGGCCCTCAGGCCACCTTCATGAAGTCAGTTTCTGATTGTTTGGTCAGAGACATTCACACCAGTGGCCTGCTGGAGGTCATTTTGTAGGGCTCTGGCAGTGCTCATCCTGTTGCTCCTTGCACAAAGGAGAAGATACCGGTCCTGCTGATGGGTTAAGGATCTTCTATGGCCCTGTCCAGCTCTCCTAGAGTAACTGCCTGTCTCATGGAATCTCCTCTATGCTCTTGAGACTGTGCTGGGAGACACAGCAAACCTTCTGGCAATGGCACGTATTGATGTGCCATCCTGCAGGAGTTGGACTGCCTGTGCAACCTCTGTAGGGTTCAGGTATTGCTTCATGCTCCCAGTACTAACCCTAGCCAAATGCAAAACTAGTGAAAAAACAGTCAGAAAAGAGGAGTAAGGAAAAAAAAAAAATGTCTGTGGCCTCCACCTGTAACACCATTTCTGTTTTGGGAGTCATCTCATTGTTGCCCATCTATTATACCTGTTGTTAGTTTCATTAACACCAAAGCAGCTGAAACTGATTAACAACCCCCTCTGCTACTTAACTGACCAGATCAATATCCCAGGAGTTCAACTGACTTGATGCTATACTCTGATTAAAAAGTGTTCCTTTAATTTTTTTAAGCAGTGTATGTATACATCAACTGCGCTTAGCTTACAGATTTGTGGGGCAGCGGCATACACCAATACCCATAATCTGGTGTTAAAATGAAATCAAAGACCAAAATGTGAGGTGCTAGCCCACTGAATTTACATTAAACTGTGTAAATAAAACAATCAGTTCATAAAAGGGGACAATATAAGAGTCATACCAATCTGTGCAGATATAAAATATTAGCAGCAAAGATTTACTATTTAGGCAGAAATCAATGCCACATCCAAACATTATATCACAGGCGTATGTGGAACCCTTTACAGGTTTTCTTAATCCTCCAAGTGTGATGCACTCACTTTGAAGCCAAGGTATCACTGCGGGTCTTCAGTGCATTAAACATAGGTTTCTGATTTGAAGGAATTCTTTCTGCAAATGCCACCCAGTCCACTGCCTTGACTGCAGCTCTGCGACCTGCCATGATTATGGTCTGAAAAAAGAAAAAGAGAGTACATCTATGTAAGAAAGCATTACATAAAACAGTAAGATCTGCACCCAAACATAAAAAAAAAACAAAAAAAAACATTACTGTTGGTCAATAGACCTGTATATATGCAACTGGAAGTGTATGTGGCCAACAGTTATGGAGACGCTCCAGCATCTTTACCTTAAGTTTACGGGTAAAAATCTGTAGGCAGTCTGCAGGAGCCTGAAATTGCACCCGCAAACTGTTCATCGTGGGTGCAATGCTCTGCAGGCTCCTGAAGAAAAAAAAAAACGAATGCATACTTTACCTGAAAAAAATACGTGCATTTAGTATTTTTTTTTTTTCAAACTTATCCTTTAACCACTTCCCATCCAGTGCATGCAGATAAATGGCCGGACGGGAGCGCTGCATTCATTGCCTGTGCACGCTCCCTGGGAGTGCACGGCACCGCGATTGGTGTGCGGGACCTCTGTGTGTGGCCAATCAGTGATCACATGAATAGTAGTAAGCAAGATGTCACTTCCTGACATCATTGCTTACTACTTGTGAAATCTGTGAATGATCACAGAGGTCACATGGTAACATATGACAAGCTGTGACCAATCACAGCTCTCACAGTATTTCTCAATTGCTGCAGGAATGCAGCCAGAGAGAAGGAGAAATGATTGCTTTTACAGCCTTTATCAGTTTAAAAAAAAAAAATCATCACCTCCCACAAGTAGTACAGTGTCACTATGGTGACACTGTACTGCTAGGGTGACAGTATTAAAAAAAAAAAAAAAAAAAAAACACAAATAATATACTTACTAAAAAAAGATAGCTGAATACATTTTGGCCAAGATTTATGAAGAAAGATTTGCAAAATTTAAAAAAAAAAAAAAAAAAAAAAAAAAAAAAAAAAAAAAAAAAAAAAACTTTTCAAAAATGTTTTCTTTTATATAGCAAAAAAAATAAAAATCCCAGTGGTGAATACCACCAAAATAAAGTTTTATCTGTCTCACAAAAATGAATATGGGTACAGTGTTGCACGACCGCGCAATTGTCATTCAAAGTGTGATAGCACTGAAAGCTGAAAATTGGCCTGGACAGGATGGGGGTGAAAGTGTCCGGACTTGAAGTGGTTAAAGCTCCAGCAGGTGTTGAATGCTTATAAATTTGTCAGAGGGAACAGCTATTTTAAAACTGAAGTTTAGTCTACTTCTATTTAGTCTTGCCTGCTTCCATATACATTCACATCAGTCCTTGCTCTTCAAGAGCCAATCCAAGGTCTCCATCTCACATGCATTTAAACCAGAACCAATTAAGCCACCTGCATGTAATTGGAATGTGGGAGGAAACCCATCACATAGGGAAAAAACGCCATGCCGACAGAACCAAGGATGCACCGCACTGGGGACACAAACTGCAATAAAAAATTAAAGCAATATATACACTTTTTTGCCAACTAAAGAGTGCTGGTTAGAAAAATGTGACTTGTCAAAAGTTAATAGCCAAGTCTCATCTCCACCTCTAAGTATGGGCAGCACAGTGGCTAAATGGTTAGCACTTCCACCTGGCAGTACTAGGGTCGTAGGTCCGATTCCAAACCACGGCACTACCTGCCTGGAGTTTGCATGTTCTCCCTGTGCCTGCGTGGGTTTCCTCCAGGTACTCCGGTTTCCTCCCACACTCCAAAGACATGCTGGTAGGTTAATTGGCTCCTGTCTAAATTGGCTCTAGTATGTGTATGTATGAATGTAAGTTAGGGACCTTAGACTGTACGCCCCTTGAGGGTTAGGGACTGATGTGAACGTACACTATATATGTAAAGTGCTGCGTAAATGGATGGCGCTATATAAGTACCTAAAATAAATAGGTATTTACCCTATCCATTAAAGTGTGTAGAGTAGCATCACTTCTTGTACTGTGCGCAGCTAGCATTTAAAAAAAACCTCCTATTCACACTGCTATTGTACTACCCTGTAGTAGGAAGATGCTTATACTTACCTATTCTCAGAGAGCTCCAGACTGGTTGTGTGATCTCCGCAATGACTGGCTTCAGGGAATAGGAGAGGACACCATCAATGGATGGAATGCTTGGGAGCGGGAACGTCACCTGACGCCTTACTATGAAGCATCCATTGTCAGATGGATAACAAGGTCCTGCATCAGTTAACAGTTATGTATTGCACCAGAGGCTTCCTGGGGGATGAAGAGAAGGGAACCACCGCTGCTATTCACCAACTTGTGCTACAATCCGTCATGGCTGAAACTGAACAACATGGCATCCGTGCCCTTCCACACATCTTTGTGAGGGCTCAGTGTGTGAGACCACTACACCTTCCTTCTTCTGGTGACCCCTCTAGTGATACATCCTAAAATTCTATTCGCTGTCACATAAGAAGATGGCAATGTGGGAACTGAGCAGAGACAGAAGGGAAGAGCATTCTGCAGGACAAAGCTGCTTCCGCTGGGTGGATGAGCCCCTTAATTGTGCATGACCCCCAACCTGATAAACAGGGGTTAACAAAAAGTGGGGTGGTGAGGGTGAAAATCCACTTTACCCAATTGCCTATTGGACACTGTCACTCCCTTCCTGCCCAGGCCAAGTTTCAGCTTTTAGTGCTGTTGCACTTTGAATGAGAATTGCGCAGTCATGCAACACTGCACCCATATGAAATGTATCATTTTATTTTATTTAGACAGACAGAGCTTTCTTTTGGTGGTATTTAATCACCGCTGGGTTTTTTTATTTTTTGATAAATAAACCAAAAAACTGAAATTTTTTTTTAAGCTCTTTTTCTGAGTTTCTGTTATAAAAATTTGAAAAAATGAGTAATTTTCCTTCTTCACTGATGTGCGCTAATGAGGCTGCAATGATAGGCACTGATGAGGAGGCACTGACAGGCATCACTGGTGGGCATTCACATACATCACCGATGGGCACTGAAAGGCAGTGCTCATATGGAACTGATAGGTGGCACTGACTGGCAGCTCAGATGGGCACTGATATGTGGCATTGATGTGCACAGGTAGGCACTGATGTGTGGCATTGATGTGCACTGATGTGTGGCATTGATGTGTACTGACATGTGGCACTGATCATCAGTGCCCTGATGATCAGTGTAGATGTCCCCTCTGAGGAATGCCGATTACTGGCTCTCCTCATATGCTGTCAGCGTGACAGCTTGTGAGTAGAGAAATGCCAATAACCAGCATTTCCTTATTTACATGCGATCAGCTGTGATTGGACACAGCTGATCACATGACAGAGCCAAAGCCATCAACTCTTTCCGCTGATCCGCTGTGTCCCAGGGACACAGCACACCACTGATCGGCGCACACACGCGGTACGAGTGAAAGGACATCGTATGACGCCCTCCAGAATGCAAAAACCACCGCACTCCCGTCATTTCTTTATATGGCGGGCGGGAGGCGGTTAAGTAGTGGATGCGTATGGATTATATTAGGAGAATACGGAGATTGTATAAACGATAAGCTGACCTTCGCGAACATATTATATGTTCTACCCATTTTAGAGTGGAACATGTAACATTTTGCTGCTCCTTCGTGACAGCGGGCCAGGAATCTTTTGAAACGGAAACTGAGCATGCGCAGAATGGCTACGGTACAGTCTGTCTTATCAAGAGATAAAGAGTGGACATTTGAACAAGAGGAAGAGCAGAGAAGACAGGATCTTTTTTAAACAATGCAGAGGATTAACCCCTTAGGTTCCACAGTGAGTATAACAAGCATGCTTTACTGCATATACAGACTGATTTTACTACTGTGGGTTTAGTATCACCTTCATTTTCATCTCATGTTGCGACAGAAAAGAGTTTTTGTGGCCAAGACTTTTCTTTTCTTTCCAGGTCACAGCTCGTGCTCATTTCTTTTCCAATTACATTTCTCACACGATTCTCTCATTGATTAGAAATTTGTTCGTTTTTCAAAAAAATTTCTAACATGCCCAATCACTCAAATTTGATGGTCGCTCGAAAAATGGGCCGCTGCTGTGGTCCACTAATGGTGCAAAATATGAACGAATATTCTTTGAAAAGATTTTAGAAAGAAGATTCTTTCGGCATTCGTCCCGTGTATGGCCGGCTTTAGTCTTCTACCATAGCTGCTCAAGAGCGTGGCTACGTTTATTTGAGACTTCTGGTGTGGTCTGTTTGCCAAGGTTGCAGGGTTGGGGCCCGATTGTGTGTGTGATGAGGGGGGAGAGCTGGTCTCGAGAGGAGGACAGAGAGCTGTGGCTAGCTTGGGGCAGGACAGGGCTGAGATTTTGTCATGGAGGTGGCCCATACGACAGGGCCCTCTGGATTACACAGTAGATGGAAAGCAGACGAAACAATCAGATTGTATAGTGTATGGTCAGCTTCAGGCACCATCAAAAACAGCAGGTTGCCAGTGAAGTGAATGTGACCCCTGAGCTCCATGCCATCATAGGAGAGGATGACAGGCAGAGGTGAGCAGTATCAGCCTCCACACTTCACCCAGCACAGGCCCCACCGACCAGTAGTCTCCTATACCGAATGAATACCTATGACAGGACCACAGCCGGCCGGTGAGGGGCCCCCCTCATGTCATACACCCGCCCAGGTTTCATCACAGGGGGCACTACAACGTTCCCCCCCACACAGGCACAGAACTCTCCTGACACACCACCCGCCGTCCCTCACCTCTATCCTCCGACCTCCACTTACACCAGCCGGGACACAGCAATGGCAGCCGCTGCCACAACCACCAATAGCCGAGAGCGACACAAACGGACTCACCACCAATCACGAGGGAGCTAGTCAGGGAACGGGGTGCCGGATTCGCTGAAACCTACCACGTGATCTTCCCGAGACGTGAAAAGAGCCCACCCACTGCTGCCTGACCTTGGACGACGTCGTGCGTAAGAATTTTGAGAAGGCGGAGTTAGTGTGGTAGCGGTCAGTTGTGTTCTTTAAACCATGGCGGGTTATTACAATATACTGATTAAAGATACAATAAAGTGATTGTGTCACTCCGTACATTGAGGCTTTAGGTGTGCCAGCTGGATGCACTAGGCTTTTGTGTTCCTGTAATGAGCAGGACTGGGTGTATCAAGATGGACACGCATTGACAATGGGTGTAGCAATGTGGAGGCGGCGCTGGCTTCTCGGGTGTAGCAATGTGGAAGCGGGTTTCATGTTGGCCTCGGAAGTACCCGCTCTATGCCCCGGAAGCCTTACTCGTTGCTGTTCTCGGTAGTATGGCTCCGCCGCTGTCTCGGTTCTGTCCGGCTTGACTCAACATGGCAGAACCACCGCGGGAGTCCCCGTGTAGTCTGACTATACCTGCCGCCCGGAGCGGACCCCCCAGCCCGGGTCTCTCCTGCTCCGGACCCCGAAGTCCCCGCAGTCCCGGCTATCAAGAAGCCGCCGGCAAAGCGGGCGGGAAATGGGTCCGTCTGAACGTGGGCGGGGACGTACTTCCAGACCACCAAACAGACCCTGTGCCGGGAGCCCAAATCCTTCCTGTACCGCCTGTGCCAAGAAGACCCGGACCTGGATTCCGACAAGGTGCTGACCCGGAGCCAGTGGTTGTCATGGAGATGTATCCTGAG